CCAAGGAGGGCAGCTTGCTTGAGTCCAGGAGTTTGAGACCAGCCTGGGCAACATGGCAATACCCCTTCTCTACTAAAAATACAAACAAAAAACAAACAAACAAAAACTTAGCCTGGTGTGGTGGCATGTGCCTATAGTCCCAGTTCCCTAGGAGGCTGAGGTGGGAGGATCACCTTAGCCTGGGAGGTCCAGGCTACAGTGAGCCATGATGGCACCACTGCACTCGAGTCTGTGTGACAGAGTGAGACCCTGTCTCCAAAAGAAAAAAGAAAATAATTATCTTTCAATAAGTGGATTAAGCCCATTTCCATGTATTCATATGACTGACATGCCTTGTTTATATGCTGTTGTATTATTTTGTTAAAATTAGTGTCTGTGTTATATTTCTTGGGTTGATTTTTTCCTATGCCTTTGTTCTTTTAAAATTTCTTTTAGCGTATGGAAATATTTTTTCTTTCTAGTGGTTATCTTTATGTTTATGCCTTTTTTTGTTTGTTTGTTTTTTTGAGATAGGGTCTAACTGTCATTTCGCTTGGTTATGTACCTAGGAGTAGAATGGCTGGATCATATGGTAATTGTGTTCAACTTTTTAAGGAACTGGCAAACTATTTTCCACAGTAACTGCACCATTTTACGTATTTACTAGCAATGTTACAGGGTTCCTGTTTCTCCTGATCCTCATCAATACTTGACAGTTTTTGATGTTCTTATTATAGCCATGCTAATGGGTGTGAAATGGTATCTCATTGTGGTTATTTGCATTTTCCTAATGATTGATGTTAAATATTTTTTCAGAGTGCTTATTGGCCATTTGTATGTCTTCTTCTCCCCACCCCTTTTTTTTTAAGAGATAGGGTCTCACTTTGTTGCCCAGGCTGGAATGCAGTAGTGTGATCATAGCTCATTGCAGCCTCAAACTCCTGGGTTCAAGCAATCCTCCTGCCTTAGCCTCCCGAGTAGCTAGGACTATAGGCATAGACCACAATGCCCACCTAATATTTTAATTTTTTGTAGAGATGTGGTCTTGCTATGTTTCCTGGACTGATCTTGAACCCTGGCCTCAAGCGTTCTTCCCACTTTGGTGTCCCAGAGCTGGGGTATAGGTGTGAGCCACCATGCCCAGATGATATCTTCCTTTTAGTCTCTTCTCTATGGTAGTTTAAAAGTTGATAGATTATTAATTTTTGTTTTAACATAATTTATAGGGAAAAATGAACGAAGTATTAGTTTATAAAGAATGTGATAAACTTGAAATAGATTTAGTATAAAGATAGATGTTACTTTTCAACATAAACAAATATTTAACTCTGTTCTGTACTCCCATGTGGATGCAACGAGTAATGAGATGAGCCTGTTACAGATAAACGAAAGCAAGATTTAACTCATATACTATAGTCATGTATGTCATTTCATCCTTAACTCCATGATTTAATTTGGTTACCTTAATGCATTTCGTTAGGAAGGTTTTAAAAAGCTATATATCAGTCTCTTGATAGAGCTTTGTAACATGTATGCCAATATGTGAAATTACTTTAATCCATCAGTTATAAATTTAACAATGGTATAGTGTTTATGTATGGCTTATATGAGCATAATCATTCCATAAAGGTTTGTGCTAAATTGTATATTCAGTTGATGACATTCATCATGAAGCCTGAGAAAGTAGCAGTATGATTTTCAGTTAGTACTTACTATTGATAGATTATTTTACTGTGTTTATACGTGTAACAAATCATGTTTTTGTTTTTCTTTTAGTTTTAGAGACAAGGTTTTGCTCTGTTGACCAGGTTAGAGTGATGTGGTACAATCCTAGCCCACTGCAGCCTCAAACTCCTAGACTCAAGCAGTCCTACTGCTTCAGTCTCAGTTAGGACTATAGATGTGCCACCATGTCCTGCTAATTAAAAAAAAAAAATTGTAGAGATGGAGTCCTACTATATTGCCCAGGCTGGTCTCAAACTCCTGGACTCAAGAAATTCTCATGTCTTGGCCTCCTAAAGTGCTGGGCTTACAAGGGCATGAGCTACCATGCCCAGCCACAATTATTATCTAAAGATAATATTTATTATTAAGATAATAATTATTATTTGAAGAATTATATTGTTGTTATTCCCTTAAGCAGCTGTGATCTTATGGTATGTTGATACAAATTGAAGGAAGAAAAATATTAGTATAAATATTATAGGACAAGCACTATAAGAAAAAGTATCTGTATTTGGTATACTATAAAGGGTTCAGTGTCTACCTTTGAGAAATTTATATTAGCTCTCTGAGGGAAGCTATCACTGTGTATAGCTTTGCCTGCTCCTTTTAGAGAAACGTCATGATGCTCTGAAATATGCAGTTAGTTACAAAGCTTTGGATCTCACAAAAGCCTGAGTACATCTTTGACTGGTTATATATTAAAGGAAATAGCCCACAGCATGGTGCCAGACAAGTGTAGAGCCCAACCAATTTGATCCTTAAGCAGGGAGAAGAATTCTATTCACTATTAAGAGGTTAGATTATAAAATGTTGCAATTATTTCAGCCTAAATTGGTTTACAGCTATTTTTTGTTTTCAATGAAACTTCTCTTCAGATTGTGTGGCAAGAAGACAGTTTTCATTTTGATGACCTTTTCTGCATTGTGTTTTTCTTCAAGTCCTCCTACCCTACCCTTTGGCCTACTCTGTTTACTGTTCAAATCTGAATCATAATGTGCATCTGGAGGGATCCTGTATCATGTGACTGAAGTGTCTCTTGTCATTTATTAACATTCTTTGAAGGTCTAATTTTAATGTATTTGGTTATATCATGAATAAATGTGTTCCCTTTCTTGATGGCTTTATGAGTTTGTGCATATGTTAAATTATTTTTTCTCCTTTTTATCCATATACAATTTTTTTTGTGTGTTTTTGAATTACAAAATGGAACAAAGAATGACAGCCACATTGGGCCTTGACAGAGATCCTTTCACTTGAAGGACCACTCCTGTAATGAATGATTTTGATTCAAGTGAATATTCATATATTTCTTTAACTCTAATTTGTATGAAATGACAGACTACAAACCATTTTGTTTGATTACAATCCCTTCACCTTCATTATCTTTTATGTCAATTTAAACTCTGAATTTACCATATCCATCTTGACCCTCCCCCACATCTCTTGTTTTTATTTTTTTATTGCAATTTTTTTCTTTTCTGTGGGCATTCACAGATTGTTTTTGTTTCATTAAAAAGGAATTGTGATGTCTGGGTAGAAAATTACATTTGCATGCTTGAGAGGGGCCTAAGGGTTTTTGTGGGGTTTGGCATGGATCTTGTATTTTTTTGGGGTGTGGGTGATGAGAAAATGAAAGAGTAAGAAGAAGGGATTTTTAGAAAGGAGAAAAGTAAGAAATGTTGAGATGATTTCGCCTATTCCCATATTTTTTCTTTTCATACTGTATGTCCAACTGGTTTCTTCCTTTTTATTTGCATATATAAACCACTTAAGTAACCATGGAATTGCTTAAGAGGTCTTTCTTAAAACTGTATTAGAATGTACAGTTGTGTTCTGCAAAGCAGAAACGTTTTCTATGATGGTAATTCTACGTTTACAAGTGAAGCTGGCAAGTTGATAAATGTATCTCTCTATGATAAATGAATGTATCTATCTATTCATCCACCCATTCATCTCTTTTCCTTTGTGGTAATTGGAGGGAGTTTTATAGAAAGTTGTTTCTTGAATTAGTATGATATTTTATTTAAACTTATATCTACATAGAAGTTTAGCCATGTTTTGATTTAGAATTTCCCACTTTCAAAATTTAGGTTTTTAGGTATAATATTTAGCCCTTTTAAAAGTTGATAATGCTAGCTGGGCATTATGGTGAATGCCTATGGTCCCAGCTACTCAGGAAGCTGAGGCGGGAGATCTCCTGAGCCTGAGAGGTAGAGGTTGCAGTGAGCCAAGATTGTACCACTGCACTCCAGCCTGGGCAACACAATTGAGACTGTCTCACCAAAAAAAAAAAAAAAAAAAAAAAAGTTGATATTGCTAATCTTTTCTTTTATTAAAGATGATGTCACTTGTTATTCAGAACATATCATTTTTGTCCATGGGGACATGGGGAAGCCATAGAACATTTATAATAACAGGACTGTATTTCTCAGCCTTGAAAACTTAGAATTCAGTTAGGTTCATAGTTAATACCAGAAATGTGGGTAGTGTAGGACTAAAGATGGTCATGTGGTGAGTCAGGAGTGGACTGGGAAGTTAGGGAGTTACTTTGACTGTGCTATAAAGGATATTCATAGGAAAATAAGTTGATTTATCACAGAGCTGACCATTGAGCTTATGGTCAATATGAGTATGTATATATACAATTGTGTGTGTGTGTGTGTGTGTGTGTGTGCGCGTGTGTGCACGTGTGTGTGTGTGTAGTCTATAAAGTCTGGAAACAACTTTGGAAGACTGAGGTGGGTGGATCACTTGAGGCCAGGAGTTCAAGACCAGCCTGGGCAGCATAGTGAAACCCTGTGTCTACTAAAAATATAAAAAGTAACCAGGTGTGGTGGCATACACCTGTAATCCCAGCTACTGGGGAGGCTGAAGCATGAAAATTGCTTGTACTGGGGAAGGGGAGGTTGCAGTGAGCCAGGATTGCACCACTACACTCCAGCCTGGGTAAGAATGAGACTGTGTCTCAAAAAAAAAAAAAGTCTGGAAACAGATATTTCTATTTTATACTTTTTTTTTTTTCAAATCAGAAGTTTTTGTTGGCATGATATTTGTTAATGTTTTCAGACTATGGCTACAACGTGGTAGGTATATGTATAAATAAATAAGTTATAATAATTCAGCACTTATATTAAGTTATATCATATATATATTATAAGTGCTGAAAAGAAGCTATTTGCAAATAATTTGGACTACATCATCAACTTTTTATTCTTTTTTTTTTCACATTCATATAACTTTATTACAGTATGTTATTGTTCTATTTTATTAATCTCTTGCTGTGCTTAATTTATACATTACACTTTATCATCGGTCTGTATATATAGAAAAAAGGTGTATAAAGGTTTGGTACTATCTGAGGTTTCGGGAGTCCACTGGGGGCCTTGGGATGCATCCCCTGAAGGGGAAACTACTGTATGCAAAATCAAAAGCTATACAACAATTAGAAACTTTGAGAGAGCAAATCTAAGTATAAGTGAAGACATTTCTCTGAATTCCCAGGTTTCATCGAGCATCAAAAACGACCAATCTTTTAGTCCTTTTCTTGTACATTATTCTGTATCCACATTCTCTGCATCTGATTGGATCCCTAGATTTTATTTCATTTTCTGTGTGACATTCTCCACAGATATATATCATTGGTTGCTGCTTTGGAGGCTGAACGTCCTTCTGAGTGTCCATTGTTAGTCCCGGCCAACTTGCTACCTACGCAACACGGGAAAACTTCTCCCAACATTTTATTCCTTATTGGATATTCCCATTAGCATAAAAACATACTTTTATTTCTTATTAAAAATTTATTTACCGTCCTTTATAGCAATACTTCAAGAGTTATCTATACTTGTTAACTACCAATTTCTGTGCTCCCATTTTCTCTTAAATCTGCTTCAACCAGTATTTACTATTCCAGATTCATTCTCATCAGAGCCACCTCGACATTGCCAGTTGTCATTTCTCAGTCCTTTTCTTACTTGAATATCAGCAGTTTTTGGTATTTGGTTGATCACTGTCATCCTTGATTCATTTCCTTCATGAGGTTTGTCGGGTACCACACTCTCCTAGTTTTTCTCCTACCTTGTTCGCAGCTCCATCTCAGTCTCCTTTGTTCGTTCTTCCTGTTCTCTTTTTTTCCTTGAAATCTAAAAATAAATGGAATTTTAAAAAAAATCACACAATAAAGGTGACTTTTTTCTTTTGATGTACAGTTCTGTGATGTATAAATTCATGTAACCTATATCATAACCAGGATATGAACAGTTTCATCACTCCAAAAAACTCCCTCCCATCATAGTCACACCCTTAACACTTGGCAGCTACTGATCTGTTCTCCATCATTATAGTTTTTTTTTTAGAATGTTATATAATTGGAAATACATAGTGTGTTACCTTTCTAGATGGCTTCTTTTACTCAGCGTAACATCTTTGATATATTCCTCTAAGCTGTTGCATGTATTTATAGTTTGTTCTTTCCTATTGCTGGCTAGTATTGTGTTATATAAATGTACTACAAATTGTGCGTCCTGTTAAAGGATATTTGGGTTGTTTCTAATTTTTGGCATTATGAAAAGAGCTGCTATAAACGTTGATAACCAGTTTTTTTTTTGTTGTTGTTGTTTTTTTTTTGGTTAACATAAGTTTTCATTTCTCTAGGGAGAAATCCCAGGAGTGGGATTGCTGGGTAATGTGGTAAGTGTATATTTAACTTAAGAAACTGACAAATGCTTTTACAGAGCACCTGTACCATTTTGCACTCCCACTAGCAAAGCATGAGAGTCCTGGTTCTACATCTTCATCAGCACTTGGTATTGTCGATATTTTTTGTATTGCCCATTTTCATAGGTATGTAGTAGTATTTCATAATGATTTTAATTTGTATTTTTCTAGGGGCAAATGATGCTGAGCATTTTAATGTACTTATTTGCCATTTATATATTCTCTTCAGAGTAGTGGCCAAATCTTTTGCTTATTTTTAAATTGGTTTAAATATTGTATTGTATTCCTATTTTGAATTTTGAGAGTTTATTTTATATTCTAGATGCAAGTTCTTTATTGGATATGTGTCTTGTAAATATTTTCTCCCAGTCTGTGGCTTGTTTTTTCCATATTTTAATAGTGTCTTTGGTAGAGTGAGAGTTTTTAATATTAATGAAGTCCAGCTTACCAGTTTCTTCTTTTATGGATTGTGCTTTTGGTGACTTGTGTAAAAACTCTTTGCCTAATCCCAGGTCACAAAGATATTCTGTTGTGTTTTAGTCTAACCATTTTATACTTTTACATTTAGACTGTGATCCATTTTGAGTTAATTTTGGTACAAAATGTGAGGTTTAGATTGAGGTTTGTTTATTCATTTTGCGTATTGATGTTCAATGTTTAGTGTTCAGTGTCCAATCGTATATATTGAAAAGACTCTTCTCTCTTCATTGAATTGATTTTATATCTTTTTCAAAATTGATTGGTCATGTTTGTGTGGAGATAGGGTCTCATACTGTTGCCCAGGCTGGAGTCCAGTGTCATGATCATTGCTCACTTGCAGCCTCAAACTTCTGGGCTCAAGCAAACCTCCTATCTCAGCCTCCCAAGGAGCTGGGACACAACAGTTGTGCACCATCATGGCTGGCAATTTTTTTTTTTTCTAGAGGCAAGGTCTTGTGTTACTGCCCATGCTGGTCTCGAACTCCTGGCCCCAAATGATCCTCCTGCCTCAGCCTCCCAAAGTGCTGGGATTATAGGCTTGAACCACCGTGCCTGGCTGCTTTATATTAATTCTTAAAGTTCATGTGGTTCCTCTAACTTTATTCTTCCCTTTCAGAATTATTTGAGCTCTTCCAATTCCTTTGCCTTTCTGTATAAATTTTAAAATTAGCTTGTCTGTGTTTTAAAAAATCTACTGGGATTTTGAGTGGGATTGCATTAAACCTGTATATCAATTTTAGGAAAATTGAAATCTTTGCTATGTTAAATCTTCAGTCTGTGAACACAGTGCATCTCTCTATTTATTTAGGTCTTCCTGGATTTCTTTCATCACTGTTTTATAGTTTTCGGTCTATAGACCCTTACATGTTTTGTTAGACTTATACCTAAATATTTTACTTTTTTGAAGTTATTATAATTGGTTATTTTTTTAAAAAAAAATTTATGTTTGTGTTTGTATATTGCTAGCATAAAGAAATATGCTTGGCTTTTGTATGATGATCTTGTAACTGAGTCCTTGCTAAATGCACTTTTTTGTAAATTCCTTGGGAGCTTCTATGTAGACAATCGTGTTATCTTTGAATAAGGGCATTTTCAATCTGTATGTTTTTATTAGTTTTTCTTTCTGTGTTGCACTAGCTAAGATTTTTCAGTACAATGTTGAATAGGAATGGGGAGAATATACATCATTGCCTTATTCCTGATATTAGGAAGAAGGCTTGAGTCTTTCACCATTTAGTATTCTGTTAGATGGAGGATTTTTGTACCCTTTATCAGGCTTAAGAAATTTACTTCTTTTCCAGGTTTGCTAAGAGTTTTATTTTTGCTGTTGTTTTTAGTCATGAACAGATGTTATATTTTGTCAAATGCTTTTTTCTGTGTCAAATTGTACGATCATTATGTTTTTCTTCTTTGGACTGTTAATATGGAGGATTACATAAATTACTTTTCAAATATTGAACCAGCTTTGCATTCACAAAAGAAAGCCCACTTTGTTGTGGTATATTATTCTTTGTATATATTTCCAGACTTGGTATGCTAATATTTTGTTAATTTTTGTGTCTATGTTCATGAAAAATATTGGTCTATAATTTTCTTTTCTTTTTCTTTCTTTCTTTTTTTTTTTTTTGAGACAGAGTCTTACTCTGTTGCCCAGGCTGGAGTGCAGTAGCACAGTGTCAGCTCACTGCAACCTCCGCCTCCCAGGCTTAAGCAATTCTCCCACTTCAGCCTCCTGAGTAGCTGGGACCATAGGCATGCACCACGCCCAGGTTTTTTTTTTTTTTTTTTTTTTCTCCTGGTAGAGACAGGGTTTCACTCAAACTCCTAGGCTCTCCTGACCCTCCTGCCTCGGCTTCCCAAAGTGCTGGGATTACATGCATGAGCCACCGTGTCCAGCCAACACAGTGCAGACCCTGTGTCTAAAAAATAAAAAAATCTGAAGGCATCAGAAAGTACCAAGGCAATGAAAATTTGTGAGTCTAAGATCTGGTAGAAGGGAGAAGCTTAGAGGGGTGAGCCCAACATTTGGGACCACTCAAGGTGATTGCTGTTTACAAAATTAGCAAGGATAAGAGGCTGAGAAATTGAATAGGGCTTTCAGCAGTCTTATGGGGCTAGAAGAGCAAAATGTGGAGAGCTACTAAGGAGGAGAAGCTCTGGTAAACACCCCAGGCTTTTTATTGGAACCCCAAAGAATTATACCCTAGCAGTAAGGGTGAGCCAGAATACTAGTCTATACTAGTATTCAAAAGGTCTGAAACTCAATTTTTATTATCTCGATCCTGCTTAAAGCAATCTTCCTTTAGCTTAATTGCCTGTTAAATAAGAAAAGTAAATTTCTGGAAGAAGGTAACATGTTCTAGAGCCTGAGGTTATTTCTACAGTTTTCCATATACAATAATGAAACTCAGTAAAAAATAACCAGTTATGCAAACTGACAAGATTTGACTAAACACCAAGAGGAAAAAAAAAGACAAGAGAAATAGGCCCAGGAAATCCAGCTATTGTACTTACCAGATGTATATTTTAAAGTAATTACGGAAGACCTTCCATGCTTGTAGTAGGAGCAAAAAAAAGGATAAAAAGTGAAAGAAAACCCAAATTGGCCGGGTGCAGTGACTCACACCTGTAATCCCAGTTGCTTTTATTTTCACTATGAAATTTTGCAACCAGGATAAATTATATTTTATGTATTATGAATTTGATGTATTATTTAACATATGAAATGAAATAAATTATGGTTTTAAGATTAATGTAGGTGGCTGAAAGGAAGTGTTAGTTCTTTATGACCCGTTGTGAACCTCAGTATTTCAAGGTTTTCTAAATAATAAAAAGTCCTACTAAGACTTCACATATTGAGATGAGGCTCGGTGGCTCACGCCTATAATCCTAGCACTTTGGGAGGCTGAGGCAGGTGGATTGCTTGAGCTCAGGAGTTCAAGACCAGCCTGGGCTGGTGGCGAAACCCCATCTCTACCAAAAATAGAAAAATTAGCCAGGCATGGTGGTGCATGCCTATGGTCCTAGCTACTTGGGAGGCTGAGGTGGGAGGATCACTTGGTCTGGGAGGCAGAGGTTGCAGTGAGCCGAGATCATGCCACTGCACTCCAGCCTGGATGACAGAGTGAGACGCCATCTCAAAAAAAAAAAAAACAAAAAAAAAAACCTCACACATTGAGAAGTCCTTTCAAGCTGGACAGCTATACAACTAAAAAATCCTGAAAAATGTCTGCCAGTAGGAAGTAGGTGAATGGGAGGAGGAGATGTGTCCAAGGGACAATGAGAATTGGTTTGTTCTGATAATAGAAGATTAAAAGTCAAAGAAAAAAATTGGCTTATAGTCTTCTTTTCAGTTTTCTTATCAGGATTATTAAATTCACTAATCTTAATTCTTAGTAGACATGTGTCTCTTTAAAGAGACAGTTTTTTAAAAGTAATCAAGGAATGTCAGTATAGTTGGAGACTGTAAATCACACAGTTCAAGCTGTTAAGACATCCCATAAGCATAGATAATGAAATCTAAGATTTGAC